AAATAAAGTTTTAGACTTCATCACATTAAATTATGAAGATCCCAATTATATTTGATGAGTATGTGTTAATTCAGCACTACCAGTAAAAATATTTCTTGTCAAAAATTTTAGTTACCAGAAAAATAATAACTCCTGGCCGGGCATGGTGGCTCACGCCTGTAATCCCAGCACTTTGGAAGGCCGAGGTGGGCGGATAACGAGATCAGGAGTTCGAGACCAACCTGACCAACATACTGAAACCTGGTCTCTACTAAAAACAAAAAAAAATTAGCCAGGTGTGGTGGCGCACGCCTGTAATCCCAGCTATTCAGGAGACTGAGGCAGGAGAATTGCTTGAACCCAGAAGGTGGAGGTTGCAGTGAGCAGAGATGGAGCCACTACACTCCAGCCTGGGCTACAGAGGGAGACTCCATCTCAAAAAAATAATAATTCCTACTGTTATTGTTTAGGAAGCAAAATTGTTCTGAAACAATTTTAAAATGCTGGCTTAAATAATTTATTTCTTCTCTCTTACTGTAGATCTTAATTTACACTTTTCTATATAATTGTATATATTTTTAAGTTGATAATTTGCCAAAGGAAAAAGTCAATACATTTTTGCTGACTTTGTTTTAGATTCTTTTGCACTAGTAAGAGACAAATTGTTGGTTCTCTTTATTTACTCAAATTTTCATCCCCAAGAGTCATTTTTTTAAATACTTAGTGGACTGTATTGATTTTTCTAGCTTTATGTGAACTTGTTCTGAGAATTTCTAGAAATCAAATTCAAGTCAACAAACATAAATACATTCATTTAAAATCTGTTTAGAAACATTTTATATATGATTATAAAAGTATTCTTGCAAAGTTTACATGGAATCATTCTGTCATTCTAAGATTGTGAGTTGCAGAATTACATGATATCATAGTTCATTATGAGTTTCTAGAAGATAGTCTTCACGTATATAATTTAACACAAAAAAAGAAAGAAGGAAATCCAAAAAGAAAAAGAAAAATATAGGATTAAAGAGTTTCACTTAAGTAGCTAACTCTTAATCATACCTCTAAATAAAAGGGCTCTGCATATATGTGTGTGTGTGTGTGTACGTGTGCATGCACAATGGCATGCACATAGAATCTGTAGATATCATTATTTAACATCCATGAAGACTTTCTCCACTGGAGAGATTATGAGCATATGGACATTTTTTCTTGTATTCTTCTTTCTTTATTTCTTCTTACATTGTGCCGTATATCTTATAATGGATGATGATGATGTAATTCATACAGATAAATTTCTTCCTACTTGTTTTTTATAAACATGACATTATTCTGACTGCTGTTGCTTCTCACTGTCTAGCATCAGGAAAACACCAGCCACTACTTTTGAGACAAATATTGCTTACTTTTGAGACAAATATTGCTTACTGCTATGGAGAATTTCAGTAAAGGAGTAGTTTAACATATATCACATCCTGGTCCTAGTCCATCAAGTATTACACATACCTTTGGCACATCTCTATTGCTTTTGGGTACAGCTCTATAAAAGTCAAATAAAATAATATTTTCGTACCATTTGAGCTATTCCAATCTTAGCTCCTGGTCATAAACCAACATTTCTACTACATAAAGCTGAAGTGGCTTTTCCTTAAATTACCTCATTTAGTTTTTGGTTTAAATAGTTGTAGCTCCATGGTCAACAGTTTAGATGTTAATAAATTAACTTGTATTGCACTTGATTCCTTTAGTGTTTCTCCTACATTTTAGAATACAATGAAGATTGAAGAAATTAATTTTGCATATCTGGTTTTAAACATACTGGTTTAAAAATATACTTCTTAAAAGTAAACTATTCAGGGTACCTGACAAAATTATTTAAAATCTGTTTACAAAAATATATACTGTTTTTATATCAAGGTGTTACTGCATAGCTCAAGAGCAAAAATCATAATTATTCATAAATCTGTATTTTATGAGAATTCTATTTATGAAAACACATATCTTTATAAAATTATTTATTAATAAGATTTTCTTGCCTCTAGACATTATTCTCAGCATTTTTCCTTCAAATGATGCCTATAATTTTTCATAGGTTTTGTGACTAAACTGAAAATACCTTTCAATTATCAGAATTGTTTTGGAATTAAGAATCTATAGCCTATCATTCTTAGAATGAAATATTAAACAAGGTTAGTGCACTGCATACTTTCCCTAAAGGATGAGGATGTTAAAGTATATTTATCTTTTTTTATTTTTATTTTTTATTTTATTTTATTTTTGAGATGGAGTCTCGCTCTGTCACCCAGGCTGGAGTGCAGTGGTGCGATTTCGGCTCACTGCAAGCTCTGCCTCCTGGGTTCACGCCATTCTCCTGCCACAGCCTCCCGAGTAGCTGGGACAACAGGCGCCCACCACCATGCCTAATTTTTTGTATTTTTAGTAGAGACAGGGTTTCACCATTCACATGATGGTCTCAATCTCCTGACCTCGTGATCTGCCCGCCTTGGCCTCCCAAAGTGCTGGGATTACAGGCGTGAGCCACCACGCCTGGCTCTTTTTTTAAAATTAACAAATTAACTCCTCATATTCTTGGTCAGTTGACTGAAGAGTGAAAGCCTATATGGGAGAATCTGAAAGGACACTTGACCCTTGAACAACATGGGTTTGAACTGTGTAGGTCACTTAGAGGCAATTTTTTAAACACTAAACAAGGATCAAAACTGCAGTGTTTGCAGGTTGCTAAACTTGCATATATAGAGGACAAACTTCTCAAATAAGTGGGTTCCACAGAACCAATTGCTGGACTTGGATATGCTTGGGTTTGGGGATATGCAGAGACCCAGGAACCAATCCCTTGGCAAATACCAAAGGGCAACTGTATATCTATACATTTAAAAATGGTGACATCAAAAATCAATTACTTGAAAATTACTAGGATAGTAGATTTTAAGTTCTCAACACAAAAACTGCTATGTATGTGAGGTAATGCTTATGTTAATTTGCTCAGTTTTGCCATTCCACAATGTATACACATTTCAAAACATTTGTATGGAGTAAATTTTGATCAATTAAAAAAATTAAAAATCAATTGGTATTGGTATTTTTCTGTTTCTTAGGCTGGGTTATGGATACATTTCTACATTTAATTTTTGATAATTCAATGAGCTGTGTAATTAGGATCTGATCACTTGTGTTTACTTGAATAACTTTTTAAATCAACTACTGTCATGTCCGATGTAAATTGTTTCTTCTAATCTTTCTTTTACCAATCAAATTCCACTGCCAACTAAACTTTACTCAACTGCCTACAGACTCCAGGAATATAATGAAAATGAAGTGAGCTGGGTGTACCATACTAGGGTGTTGTGGCCTCTGATGAACTGAGAAAGATGGGTCTAATTTAAAGGGTACAGATGCTACCCAGCTCCCAGGAATGGTTGCCATATGGGACAGGGTTGAGTGTTACCAGGTCTGCAAATCTTACTTTTATGTCAAATTTATACTTTTTTAATGTTGGCAACTAATTGAATTTTTCAAACACTGAAGGCCAAACTAAATATGTCTTTAACTAAAGAGCCGTCCCTCCATAAAGATCACCTCCCTAGTAGGGCCTCACTAAATCTGAGTCCAATTAAAATACTTGCATTTATACTGCTGATACTGCCAGCAATTAGGGAAGCCTGCATTCGAAATTAAGTCTGATTCCCTAACCTGTGCCATTTCTTTTTTTTTTTTTTTTTTTTTGAGATACAGTCTTGCTCTGTCGCCAGGCTGGACTGCAGTGGCATAATCTTGGCTCACTGCAACCTCTACCTCCTGGGTTCATGTGATTCTCCTGCCTCAGCTTCCCTAGTAGCTGGGACTACAGGCGCATACCGCCACACCCAACTAATTTTTGTATTTTTAGTAGAGACAGGGTTCCATGTTGGCCAGGATGGTCTTGATCTCTTGAGCTCGTGATCCACCTGCCTCAGCCTCCCAAAGTGCTGATATTACAGGCATGAGCCACCATGCCAGGCCGCCATTTCTACTTTAATAAACTTCCTAAAAATATGATCATAGCTTTATGTAATTTGAATCCTAAACTAATCCCAAAACAAAGGTATTATCCCAATTCACTGATGAGGAATCTAGGCCAGAAGATAACAGATAACTTAATGGAACAGTTTGTTAATGTTATGGAACAATCTGACCTGAGTTGAATGGCTTGAGTTCAAACCCCTCGCTTCAACAATTACCATTTTAATAATTTCAGGAGGGTAAATTCTCTATATTTCAGTATTTTTCCTATAAAATGGGTATACTAATAACACATCACAAAATTGTTGTGAATATATACAAAGCACTTAAAAGCATGTCTGGCAAATATTAATAGTAAGTACTATGTAAGTGTTGCTATTACTAATTATTGCTATTAATTTCAGTGAAATGAAAATTAGAACAATAACTACTTCTTTGGGTTTGTATTAAATGAACTAATCTATTGAAAATGTTTATAACTGTTCCTGAGACATAGTTAATATTCAATACATGTTAATTATATGTCTAATTTCATTGTCTTTCAAGTACATTACATCTAAATCATGTGGGTTAATTCCTTCACTTGTGCCTGGTAATAACAAATATAGGTAGTACCAGAGGCTGGAATTACTTTCATTTGTACTGAGTGAATGTTTGAAAAGTTTATAGTCATAGTCTATAATAGTTTATAATCATAGTCTCATGATTATGGAAATATTTGTATCATTTAAAAATCTGTAGTGAAATCAATCATGCACTATGTAATGACTGTCTTGCTAAGGATTTTAATAATGTAATAAGATTTTATTCAAAGAAGCAGGAATAGTTGCAACACTCAAAAGACATTCTTTAAATGTATTCGGTCTTCACCCCTTCTTTTCTCCCTAGTTTTTCAAAAACTTGAAACCCAGAAAAAAATCAAAAGATATCCAGGTAATTCAGTAACTCAAATTACAAAGTTATATGTTAACATATTTAACATAGCCATGATTTTTACTTACTTGTGACCCATTTCATGAGCAATTGTAAAAGCAAGATTCAAGCCATTGTCTTCAGCAATAATACATTTTCTCTTTTCACTACACATTCCACTCAAGTAAGCTATACCTAAAAAATACAAACATTAATTATTATATGTCTGAATATGCAAAATTTTTAGTAGTTATTAGCTGAGAATATGCAAATTTTTTACTAGTTACTCGCTGCAGGGATGAAAATGGCAGTTGTCATGACTAAAATGTCAGTATTAATCTGTGAAATCTAGCCCTAATAAATGAAATTTTAGGGACAAGTGTATATGTATAAGCCAGGCAAAACACTGTTCATATCATTTTCATTTTCATATTTTAGATAAAATTATTTTACCAATTATCAAATTCCAAAGGAATAATATAAGAATATATGTTATAAATACCAATTTCATCATGTAAGACAAATGAATAGTTACAACTTAGAAAATGTAATAAAACAGCAATGATTAATTTAAATATATTCAATTATTGTGAAGAACATAGTTTTGAAAAAATATTAATGCAAAATAAACTACATATAAGGCAGTCTTGAACTTACATTTATATTTTGAATTGATACAATTGTGAAATTATATTTATGAAATACTATTTTAATATGGCATAGAGCTATCTGTCATATTTGAAATACCAGAAATATTTTATTTGAAAATTTCTTGGCAAAATGGTATGTTGCATAGTATATGATACTGAAATATTAATTAACATAAAATTTTAGCAAGATATTTGATCTTTTGGTTTAAATTATCAGTAAAAAGGGAAATATTTAAACTCCTTAATATTCTTTAGTCAAATATTTATGTTCTGTTTTACTAATTAAGACATATACTTGAATAATCATTTCAGAAAATGAATTGTTACCAAGTATAAGTTATAATGTTATTTTCAAATAACAAAAGTTATTTTAATATCAATTATTTTTGATACATTATATGTTCTGTATTTCCCATATCCTTATAAAATAAATTTTAAACTCATTTTATAGATGAAGATATTTAGGCCTAGGAAGTTCTGATTTAGCAAAGATCACATAATTACTAAACATGATGGAATGGGGATTTAATTTCACCTTTGAATCCATCTGCTGGATATATATTTTGTTTCTGAAAAAAAATTTAATGCAGAGCTTGCCCTAATTAAAGATGGTCAACTGACTGCTTGTGACTTTTCTCTCTCTCCAGAAACAAAATATAATTTAAATAAATTATTTTAATAAAATGTTAAAAGAATCACCTTGCCCATGTTTGGGAAAGTTAGAAGATTCAGGGAAGAATATGAACAGATTTAGTGAAAGCTACAGCCTAAATGTCAAGAGGAAGATTTTTGATGAGAAGAGAACTTCTGAATTGGTGGAACTCCAGAAAGTCTCAAGACTGAGGCACACATAGTCTAGGGAGAAGCAATGAATGAGGGTTGAAAATGGAGATTAGCTGAAACTATATCTGAAGTTCTAAACAACTCATTTAAACCTTCGGGCAGAATGTCAAGGCCTGGTATCCACAGTCCTATCAGGAAAGTAGAGATGTAATCTTTAAGCAAAAGGTAGAATAAACATATTATTTTAAGAAATATGACTACATGAAGAAATAGCAAAAAGATGAAATACACATATGGATGTAGTGTTTTTTTATATCTTTACAAATTAAAATATATTTTATAGAAATTTATCATCTATAAATAGATGAAATGACTCCTTAATGAATGTGTGGTTAGGTGGATGGATGGATGAATAGACAGATGATAAGCCCAGTTACTTCATTTGGCTTATTAAGGTAACTGAAATTACTTCAAAGTTAAATCAAGAAAAAATAGGACAGAAAGATGAAGGTAAGGATACACAGAGAGGGACTGGGGAAGGGAGAAGAGGAGGGGAGAAGCAGGAAAATCATATTTTTAAATTATAGTTCTATTAAACAACAGATGAAATAAAAACTTTTTAAAATTTGATTTACACATAACAACATGAATTTTAAGAAAGCTAAATCATATTAATACAACAAAGAGTGGAAAATGAAGATTTTGAGATAATTAATTTTGTATTATAATCAAATGGAAGAAGACAGGAAGAAAGAAAAGAAGGAAGGAGGATAAAAGAAAATATCTCCTCTAAATAGAGTATTAAAAGTTATAGCATTTGAAAATAAAATAATACTTTGAGATTAAATGTCCCCCCCAAAATACTAAATCAAGTTCACTATAATTAGCATGCTGCTACCATTGATTAGTATAAATTTTCTCTTAAGATTCCCATATATTTTGCCACTTTTTTCACCACAGCTAAAACAGTCCCATCACCCTGTTCAGATTTAAAACTCAGCTAACATGGGTTATCATCATGTCATATACTTGTTTGTCACATGGCCTAGGACATATACAATTCAGTCACTTTAATGAGTTTTGCATGTCTTCTCCAGTATCCATTCTAATCTCATACTTTCCCCACATAAAAATAGTACTGCCACTTGTTTCCAATTCTTATTTCTTCTAATTTGCATTGGCTAGGATTTCGAACGTACTATTGAAATATATGGGCAATACTGATCTCCTTATTTTTCCTTCTGAGTTTAATAGGAATGTTTACAGTTTCACAGTTGCATATGATGTTTGCTGAAGGTATTCATAGAATACCTTACCAACTTAAGGAAATAACTTTCTGATATCATTGCATGTCTGAGTGAAGAAGGAGGCAACATGATTTGATATATAGGTCAAAGGTGAATGGAAGTTTATTAGTAATATTTGGGAAACGATCCACAGATTGAAATAGCCACTTAGGGAAATATGGAAGCGCTGAATAAGTACTACAGGAGTGCTTAATGTAATGAGTCAGAAAACATGTTGCTTCAGCTGAGGACGGAGTGCATGAGTTTGGAGTAGCACTAACATAGTACTCAGTTGAGTGATATTCAACCTAGTGGCTGAAACAAAGACGAGTACATTTAGATTCAATTTAGGCTGAAGTTTTGTAGATCACATGTGGAGGAAGACCAAAGGTATAAAAGCTGTCAGTGAAGTTGAAAGTGAAAGAAGGCATAACACTTACAGGGATCTATGGGGGATGAGTAAAAAAGTAAGGTTAGAGGGAGCCTGATAATTTGAGAAAAGAATACAGTAGTAAAGAGAATGGAATCACCAATGATGAAAAACAGCAGACGTTTTACAAAGAAAGTATTTTATCAGGGAGTGAGACTTAGGGATTTAAGATTTCAGAGGTTGGGCACGGTGGCTCACGCCTGTAATCCCAGCACTTTGGGAGGCCGAAGCGGGCAGATCATGAGGTCAGGAGATCAAGACCATCCTGGCTAACATGGTGAAACCCTATCTCTACTAAAAATATGAAACATATTTCGGGCTTGGTGGCGGGCGCCTGTAGTCCCAGCTACTCGGGAGGCTGAGGCAGGAGAATAGCATGAACCCGGGAGGCAGAGCTTGTAGTGAGCCAAGATCACGCCACTGCACTCCAGCCTGGGTGACAGAGAGAGACTCCATCTCAAAAAAGAAAAAAAAAAAAAAAAAAGATTTCAGAGAGAAAGTTCTGAGATCACATGACTAGGTATTGTCACAAGAGTAAAGAAGGGTGCAGGTAGAGGTCATCTAGATTGAGTTCAAATAATTATTAAATAGTGTTGGGTGGACTAATAATAATCAACATGAAATTGCACACGATCAGAAAGAACTTGGGACAATGGTAGGTGGCCAATATCCATAAGAAATGTGGGTGAGAATCAAGATCAATCACAGCTTTAACATGCTAAGGCTCAAAAACTTCAAGATCAGAGAGATTTGGGTTTAGAAACACCAGTGGGGAACCGGAGGAATATGACAAATATACAACTTTTGTTTGTTTCTTGTTCCAGCCCTATGATACAGGGGAAGAGAAAGAGGGAACAGTGGCCTCTCTTGGAATTCTGGATTATAGAAACCCATAAACACCCGGTTATAGGAAATCAATGACTACAATGTGGTCATGTAAAACAATATGATGATAAAGACAGTAGTTTATAATATAATAACATGTTTATGCAATAAAATATGTTAATAAAATATAAAATATTGAAAAACGATGAGCACATACTTACACAGAAGTATGATACAACTATGTATTCAAAATATCATACCATCACATATTCATATGAACAAAAAGATACAGTTTTATCATGAGAAAATTAAAGTCTAATAAACATGATAATCATGTCTACAAAATGTGAGTGGTAATTAGTAGAACTTCTTGTAGACTAGGGTGTGGTCTGTAAGACCAAAAATGACCCAAAAGGACCCTTAAAATGACCATCTATTCCTATTCTTATTTTACTCAAGTGTAAAGTCAGAATCTTCAACTGAGACTCTGATAAATTTAAATTCCATTGTTCTTAGTTTTGGAACCCCAAGAAATTTTTCTTTGATTTGAAAGTTATGGAGAATGACTGTAACCGTGACTAATTTAAATGACTTGCATTATTCTGTTTAAAAGCTTAGCTTTCAGTTCAAGAAACCACATGTTTGTTATTATAATAAGAGATGAGGTTAAAGGGGAAAGGAATTAACACATATGTTATTTAAAGATAGATGCAATACAGGCCCTTTTGTGAAACAGAGTCCCACTCTGTTGCCCAGGCTGGAGTGCAATGGCGTGATCTTGGCTCACTGCAACCTCCACCTCCCAGGTTCCAGCGAGTCTCCTACCTCAGCCTCCTAAGTAGCTGGGATTACAGGCACCTACCACCATACCCAGCTAATTTGTATTTTAAGTAGAGATGGGGTTTCACCATATTGGCCAGGCTGGTTTCAAACTCCTGACCTCAAGTGATCCATCCACCTCAGCCTCCCAAAGTGCTGGGAGGCCAGACGTGAGCCACTTTGCCCAGCTCAAACTACTTTTTTAATACAAAAAATTCTGGAAATAAAAAGCAAACGAAAACAACCTTCTCATTTCTCAACTTAAAATGAGTCAAGTCATGAACAAGAAGTCAATTGAAGCTCTCATCAGAAAACAAAACACATGCCAGATGCTATTATGACACACCTCATAAGATGATCACAGACTCCTAAAACCATCCCAGATGCATTTTCCAATAATGG